CTGCGGCAAGAAGGTTTGCTGTATCTGTCAGCCTAGTGTCGAGAACATGGATGCGCTACCAGGGGACATGCCATTACATCAGGAGACGTAGAGGAGACCGTAGGAGGGCAACAACCCAGCAGAAGGACCGCTACCTCCGCCTTTGTGCAAGGAGGAACAGGAGGAGCACTGCCAGAGCCCTGCAAAATGACCTCCAACAGGCCACAAATGTGCGTGTGTCTGCTCAAACGGTCAGAAACAGACTCCATGAGGGTGGTATGAGGGCCCGACGTCCACAGGTGGGGGTTGGCATTTGCCAGAGCACACCAAGATTGGCAAATTCGCCACTGGTGCCCTGTGCTCTTCACAGATGAAAACAGGTTCACACTGAGCACATGTGACAGACGTGACAGAGTCTGGAGACGCCGTGGAGAATGTTCTGCTGCCTGCAACATCCTCCAGCATGACCGGCAGTGGGTCAGTAATTGTGGGGGGTGGCATTTCTTTGGGGGGCCGCACAGCCCTCCATGTGCTCACCAGAGGTAGCCTGACTGCCATTAGGTACCGAGATGAAATCCTCAGACCCCTTGTGAGACCATATGCTGGTGCTGTTGGCCCTGGGTTCCTCCTAATCCAGACCTCCATGGGCTGAAAAATGTGATTTCCATTTTTTAATTTTTGTGTGATTTTGTTGTCAGCACATTCAACTATGTAAAAAACAAAGTATTTCAAAACAATATTCATTTAATTCATTCAGATCTAGGATGTGTTATTTTTGTGTTCCCTTTTTTTATGAGCATTGTATATATGTGTGTGTGTATATATATATATATATATATATATATATATATATATATATATATATATACACATGTGTGGCGGAACAGACCTCGCCACGTGTTCTTGGAGGGGGCCTCCTACCTTCTGACTATGGCCCTGGGATATATGGCATTTGAAAACACTATTTGTGCCCTGTGACAAAACTGGAGATTGTGCACAAATATGACTATTGTCCATATTTTTTATGATTCCCTTCGTTTCTTGCACTGTTCCCCATGTGTTTCATCTGTTGGTTCGGCTGGATAGACTACCAGACAAACTGTGGAGTTACTGGGTGGCCACCATGTATCAGAAGCAGATGGTGAGAACAATGGATGGGGGTCATTTTAACTCACAGACACTGTTTTGACTTTTCTACACGGTGCCATCTCGCCGGTATTTGGTGCACAAAGACATCGTCAGTAGTTTTAAACTACAGAACAGTGGACACATTTAACAGTAATTATTTTTCATATAGCCTTTATAAGTTCTGCGGAATCTGCATTAAACCGTATCTTCCAAACTACTGAACGGATCTGGGTGAATTTTAGATATGTGGTTCACCCAGATCCCCCGGTTCCGAGGATATATGGGGTTATTGCATATTTTGGGGTCCCTGTGATATGTTTTATAATACTGTATTTTCCTGCCTGTGATAATTAGGTTAGTCTATTGTGTTGAGATAATTGTATCACAGGCAGAGGGGAGGATTTCTGATGTAATGAATGGGAGTGTTAGCTGTGTTGCAATGTGTTGATTGGTTGTGCTTCAAAACCCTATGGGCAGTACTATGTTAGTAGAATGTGAATAAAAGAGGCTGTATGTGCTAGTACAGTCAATTCTACTTCATCCTAAACACGTAGTCTTGTCTCGTGATTGGAGGGGACAGCTATACTCCCCTGAGCTTTAATCACTTAGCTCTTTTAAGAGCTTGTTCCTGTTATGCTCTCCTGGAGGAGAGGTCTTCATTACATGGTCCTGGAGGACAGAAGTTGATCCAGGGTGGATGAGGGTGGCGAGACTCCAGTTAAGCTACGGCGGTTGTGGAGTCTGCGGTGGTTGTGGTGTCTGGTGCGGTGCTTGTGGTCCTCGGCGCAGGCTAGGAAGCGTCCATCAATGGAAGGTACTTGGTTGGAGTATGGGTTCCGTTACAACATGCAAATCCAAACTTTTGCACTCCAACCTCCAGTCAGAAAAATATAGTACCGGCACTCCTGGCTTTACAATCAATTTTTTTCTTTTATTGTCCATGTTTCAGTTCCTCAATGGAACTTTCATCAGGACATAAAACATATCAAACAGATAGTTGCTTTATATAGGACATATAAAACATCAATTCCTCACCAATCAGGGGCGGATCCAGAACTAAATCTTGTGAGGGGCACTGGTGGTGGACTAGAAAAGGGGGGGGGTGAAAAGGGCTGCAGCAGAGGAATAGGGGACTCTTGTTTAGGGGATAGGAGGCTGTACACATATGCGGCCACACACAGTGATATGGAAACACACTGGCGCACACACACACACATCCCTACACATACACAAAATAACACACATACCTTCACATACACACACAGATACAAGGTAATAGAATATACAGGCAAAACTCCAGGTACTGAAGGTGTATTTATTGGAGGGTAGAACACCTTAAAAGTACAAACGTGCAACGTTAATCATGTTTAGGGATGAAAAGTTGCACTTTTGCACTTTTATGTGGTGTTCTACCGTCCACTAAATTCACCTTAAGTACCTGGAGTGTTGCCTGTATATTCTATTACCTTTTATTGTTGGACTGATTAGCAGTGTCTGTCTAATGCAGAGCACCTCTGAGGCTGTGCTCTGGAGTAAAAAGCGGAACCTGAGTGCAGTGGACTACATTGTCTGTGGTACACACAGATACACACACATTCATACTCACAGATACACACTAACACTCACAGATGCACACACTGACACACAAACATACTAACAGATACACACTGACACTCACAGATGCACACACATACAAACATACTCACAGATACACACTGACACACACAGATGCACACACGTATTCACAGATACACTGTGACACTCACAGAAACATACTGACAAACACAGATACCTACACATACACACAGATACACACTGACACTCACAGATGCACACACATACTCACAGATACACACTGACACTCACAGAAACATGCATACTCACAGATGCACACACATACTCACAGATGCACACTGATACACACAGATGAACACACTAAAAGATACACACTGACACTCACAGATACACACACATACTCACAGACACACACTGACACATAGATGCACACATATACTCACAGATACACATTGACACTCACATACACACTGACACACACAGATACACACTGACACTCACAGATGCACACACATACTCACAGATGCACACACATACTCACAGATAGACACTGACACTCACAGATAGACACTGACACTCACAGATACACACTGACACACACACAGATGCACACACATACTCACAGACACACACTGACACAGATACACACTGACACACACAGATGCACACACATACTCACAGATACACATTGACACTCACATACACACTGACACACACAGATACACACTGACACTCACAGATGCACACACATACTCAGATACAAACTGACACTCACAGATACACACTGACACACACACAGATGCACACACATACTCACAGATACACACTGACACACACAGATGAACACACTTACTCATAGATACACAATGACACTCACTGACACACACTGACACACATAGATGCACACACATACTCACAGATACACACTGACACACACAGGTACACACTGATACTCACAGATGCGCACACACATACTCAAAGATACGCACATACTCACAGATACACACTGACACACACAGATACACTGACACTCACAGATCCACACAAATACTCACAGATGTGCACACACATACTCACAGATACACACATACTCACAGATACACACATACTCACAGATACACACTGACACACACAGATACACACACATACTCACAGATACACACACATAGGTGCAATAAATAGTGACACTCACAGATACACACTGATGCACACACATACTCACATACAGATGCACACTGAGACTCACAGATGAACACACATACTCACTGACACACACATACTCACAGATACACACTGACACACACACACACAAGTTTCAGCTTCCATAATGTAACAACCCTCTCCTGCTTCCATATCTTTTGGTTGCAGGGAGGTGACTTCCTGGGGCTGGCTGATCCTGATGGGAGTCTGAAGCTGAAGAGCTCTCTCTCCTCCCTCCTCCTTGAAAGGGTAAATGCTGTTCTGGACTCAACTCCCCTCGATTCTCGATCCTCCGATCACCACATCAATTGATGGGAGTTCTTGTTTAGCAAATAAGACACACAGACACGAAAGAGTGCTTAACAAGTTCTCAATGAGTATATTTTCAGGGCTAGCATTTATACACAGTTTGTCATGCAAGCAGTGAGATCTATAGTGTCCTTGTAGTTAATAGTACATACTTGTCGGACATGAAAAAGATAAGCATTTGGATAAAGACGAGACAGGAATATCCTAATGTCAAGGAAGGTCATACATCCTGTAGAGGAAAGACCTTGGTACAAAATACATCTGCCAAAGTCAGCATAATTATTTCAAACATTATTTTAAAGCATATAAAGCAAAAAGAGTTAACCATTTCACTTTCTTACATTCCCCTCTTTGAGCAATACACTTGCTCATATCATTGATAAGATCTTCCCAGGTCAGAGAAACTTCCACATGGTATTTTCAGGGGTGCTAGTCACTCCCTGCGGGACTTTCATTAATTTCTTCACCTCAATTCCCATGTGGTAAATCCTAAGGCCCAGTTTTAAAGATGGGTTGATAGCCTCCAGTGGCAGAGAGGAGAATTTTCAATTGTTTCTGTTCTGCATTATGGATTAATTTCTGTATTTTCTTCCTCAATGTACAAGTAAGATGACTGTTATATAAAATCTTACCCAATACAATCAAGACTATAATAACAAGAGGATAGAAGAATGATTTCATTATCTGGGATCCAGTAGGGGACCAACCAGTAAAAGCATTGTACCAATGATGGGCTAAATCATTCTGAATTTGTGAACTCACCTTAAGGAGTTCTCCTTTTAGGATATGTGTGGCTACCTGTGTGTGTACTTTAGCATCATTATGTGTAACAAGATGTTTAAACATATTTTGTTTTCCTTTCATTAAGGAGACAATAGTCTCAAGAGGTAGATGGCAATCTTTAAAAGGCAGAGAGCCTAAAAGGGCATTAATATGTTTGTCTAAAGTGATTGTGTCGCTGAAATAATATTGGGTGTCATTAAGATCTAACCAGGTAACATTAGTCAAACATCCTGAAATTACTAGTAATTATCTTTGTAGGGAGGTTAGTTGTCAAACAGATATGTCGTGTGCTTATTTCAGTCATGGTAAAATCATTTTCAGGATATATGTACCATATGCACTTGTTAAGTTCATTTTGGAGTAAGCATGGTTCGTAAATAGGGGACGAGTGTCGACATGCATATCCTTTGTCAGTGAGAACACAGTGTTTAAGGGAATAGGTCATATTATCTTTGGGGAAAATATAGTCCCCTTTGTATGTGGGTTAAATTCCTGGTAAAGAGATCATAAACTGATACTGGTAATGTGTTAAATTGACAAGCTAATTTAACATCCTTTGATGTATGATATAGTGTAAAATAGCATAAGCATGAAAAATGTGAAACATTACCAGTTAACCATTCATTGCATTTAGTGGATTGGGGTTTCAGAAGTAACCATTCATTATCTGTGAGGTTAAGCATCCCTCTAATCTTCTCTAGTTTAGGAATCATTAGTGTGTCTTCTAATGCCAATCTTTGTTGTTGCATCCATAAATACCTGATGGCACAAGTACTCCAGTTACCGAGATCTGTAGTGAATTTCATAGTTGCAACAGTTAAATTACCTAAATAGTTATACATTGATTTATCTAAATCCAATCCTGTAACCTGTGATTTAACAACAGTTGGAGCCCAGTTTGCAGTAGCATGGAAACCAGTCCCTATATGCATGCTGGCTGTGTTTAACTTATTCTTGAGGGTCTCTATGTCTATACTATTTAGTATACCCATAGTGGTTCCAGCACCTCCTAACAGTGTGTCATACCATTCCCTTTTCTGCCTTTTGTTTGCTGTGTTACATATTGTTACAACAGGAGTAGTGATTTTTAATGACATGTACAGCTTGTAAGAAGGCAGTTGTATTAACACATGTGGACAGAATAGGTGTGTGTGTGTCATGGTTGACTTTTGGTTCTATGGTAGAGGATAAAGGACAGTAATAAGGTGTAAAAATATAAGATAGTGTACAGTTCTCAATCGCAGTGTCGTTCATAATGACTAACATTTGTCCCCTTTTCCAATTAATGGTACCAGTTGTATAATCATTATTAAAAATAATAAGGCCTGTCTGTTTACATTGATATGCAACCTTACTAATTTTCTTATAATATATATCCCAAACCTGTGTAGGTGGTTTTTTCTTACCATCAGAACTTATATTAAATAAGGTGGCACAGATGCTGGTGTAATTAGCAACCTTAACTGTGCACATTTCTGCGTTATAAGATATAACAATTTTCCGTGAACCTTCAAACAAACATAATGCATCGGTTTCATTAGCTGTGGACACATTCCATATGGTTAACTGGTACTCATAAGGGTAATTATTTATCCAGTTCATCCATATGTGTTCAGTCAATGAGTGATTGCATATTACATGCTGATAGATAGGTGGTGGAGAAAGGTTCTTGAGGCAGCGTGTGTGACGAATGCTAGATGAGGGGCTAAGGCCTAATTGGGCTAGGGGTATTGAAGAATTGTTCATCATGTCAGAGTCATTTCTCCAGAAACAAACAGGTTTCAAACTTCCCATTGACTTGTACTCATAATGGCATTCAAGGAACAATATCAGAGGGAGTATAACAACTCCAGAAAGCATAGCGCACAACATAATCTTGGTCTCAGGTTCGTATGATCCTCTCAATCTACGATATGGTGTGAAAGCCATGATGCTTCGCTAAGGGGAAATTCTTCTCTTTCCGAGTGAGGAGTGGTGTTGTCTTCCTTGGTTCCCCTCTTTGGACACAGCTTCACTCGGGATGCGTGAATCCAGATGTCGTGGGAATCTGTGAGGACAGCGGTTCTGGTTACAGCAATCACAGTAGCACGTAGTATCCTCCTTTCTTGGTCCTATTCAGCTGACGGATATACACCTTGTCACCGGGCTGATATGGCTGATATGGATGATATGGATGAGTAGGTTCCTGTGAAGGTAAGGGAAACTGCGAAGAAACATTGCCATATATACCATTCAGTTTTATCAACAATTCCTGTACATATTGTTCTTGTATTAGCTGTAAATCCCCAGACATTATAACAAGCGGAAGATATTTTGTCCAATTTACCCATGTTCCTGCAGTAGCTTTCATAAGCTTCTCCTTAATGGTCCTATTCATCCTTTCAACTACCCCTGAACTCTGTGGATGATAGGGTATATGAAACTTCCAGGTAACTTGCAAGAATTTAGCAAGTTCTTGGGTAACCTTACTAGCAAAAGCCAGGCCATTATCAGAGTTAATCTGCACAGGGCAGCCATACCTGGGAATAATTTCAGTAGCAAGAATCTTCACTACCGTCCTAGCATCCTCCCTAGATTTCACAAAGGTCTCAGGCCATCTACTAAACTGATCAACTATGACCAGTAAGTATTGCTGTTTCTTACCAATTTTGGGTACATGAGTAAAATCAATCTGTAAGTGTGTAAAAGGAGCAGCTGGAGGGGGCAAATGTTCGTGCTGTGATTTGTGTGGAATATTCGGATGTGTTCTCATACATGGTTCACACAATCTAACAAAAGACTGTACATGCTGCCTGAGATTCCAAATATAAAATGAATTCATGAGGAATTGGATGGTGCTTGCTATGCTTTTGTGGCCAGGACCATGTGTCTGACTGATGAAAATAAAACAGCTGGCTTCAGGTATGCCTATCTTCCCCTCTTTAGAGAAAATATAATTCTGATCTTTTTCTAAACCTTATTTAATCCAAAAATCAAAGTCAGATTGCGTTGCAAAGGCTTGGAGCTGCAAAAGCAAACTGTCAGTAGGGCATGTGGGAGGTGTGAGCATAGCAGGAAACATTTCATAGTAAAGAGTCTTGGCTGCAACTTCTTTTGCCACTTTGTCAGCCAAGGCATTACCTCTGGAAATGTCGTCACTACCCAGAGTGTGTGCCTTGCAGTGGATAACAGCTACTTCAGATGGGAGTAGGATAGCATCTAGGAGTGATTGGATGAGATTTGTGTGTGAAATGGCTTTTCCATCGGCTCCTACAAAGCCTCTTTGTTTCCAAATCACACCAAAATCATGCACTACCCCATGAGCATATTGTGAGTCTGTGTAAATGTTCACTCGCTGTCCTGAGAAAAGCTGACAGGCACGTGTGAGAGCAATGAGTTCTGCAGCTTGTGCAGACGGCTGGAAAATAGTGTCAGCTTCCGGGCCAATGAGTGCTGTGGAGGAGAGGTCTGCTCTGGGAGATGTGGCAATATGTATTTGTTCAATGCAATTATGAGGCTCAGATGGTATAGACACAGAGTCAGATGCAGAAGTGAGAATAGCATGCAAAACAGACATAGGACCAGAATTAACAGGACTATAAACAATAGACAGATTCTGGGTATTAAGAAGAATAATCTCATAACCACTTAAGCGCTGGGCTGTCATGTGTTGTGTGGTGAGATTTTTTATAAGCTGAGTGACCTGGTGACTGGTATGGAGTATTGTAGGATGCCCTAGTGTGATAGTAGTAGCAGTCTCAACAGCCATTGCACATGCTGCCAATGCTCTGAGACACGCCGGCATACCCTGTACTGGAGCTGGAACTACTTTGGAAAAGAATGCTATGGGACACATACCGCCTCCGTGCTCTTGTGCACAGACCGCGGCCATGGTTTTACTGTTGTCCCGAGCATACAAATGAAACGGTTTACAATACACAGGTAGTCCTAAAACCAGGGCTTGCACAATAGCAACTTTGAGGGCAATATACGCAGCTAGCATGTCTGGTGACCAGCAGACATTTTCAGGGCTGTCAGAATGTACAGCCTCCCTTAGGATTGAGTCATAATGGGAGCATTCAGGGATCCATTGGCGGCAGTAATTAATCATGCTGAGGAAGGTGAGCAACTCCTTCCGAGTAGTGGGTTTAGGAATCCTCTGAATGACCTCAATACGTTTTGGACTCAATTGTCTGGTGCCTGAAGCCAGAACAAAACCTAAGTAATCAACCTTTGATTTACACAATTGCATTTTGTGTTTTGCAACCTTGTGACCCACAGTTGCTAAGTGTTTGAGCAAACTGACAGTATCCACAGTGCTTGCCTCATAGCTAGGGCTACATAACAACAAGTCATCAACATATTGCAAAAGGACGGAACCATGACCGGGGGTCCATGTTTTAAGAGTATGTTGGAGTACCAGCGAATAAACGGCTGGGGAATCCACATAGCCTTGGGGTAAACGTGTCCAGGTATACTGACAGCCTTCAAAAGTAAAAGCCATAAGTAGCTGTGTCTCTTGATCAATAGGTATAGAAAAAAATGCATTACTTAAATCAATGACAGTAAAGCAAGTGGCATCATGTAGAATGGCTGTAATGAGGGATGTCACATCAGGGACAATGGGTGCAATGAGCACAATTAAACCATTCAGGGCTCTAAAATCCTGAATAAGCGATAACCATTACCTTTAGGAACTGGATTAATAGGTGTGTTATATGGGGAAACTACTGGCTTTAGTATTCCCTGCTCTAGAAAAGATTGGATCATGGGGCGATCTCAACCTTGGCTTCTGACAGGGGGTACTGTTTAAGGTAGATAGGAGTTACAGCTGGTTTTAGTTTGGCTTTGTAAGGGGTGCAGTTGACAAATCCTACATCTAACTTAGATGAAGCCCACACGGAGGAAGGAACATCAGACAAATCAATAGTTTCAGAACACAACATAGACACATCAATACCACCAGAGGGCGTGCAAGTAATACTAGCTCCCAGAATACCAAGAAGATCCCTTCCCAGCAAATTAACAGGACATTTAGGTATTAGACGAAAAGGGTGCACAGTAGAAGAACCATTAAGAGGACAAAAAACAGACAGTGGTGGTGTGACAAAAGTGGGGGTTGACACTCCATTAATACCCAATGAAGGTGTAGACTTTTCCCTTGTCCCCTGATAATAGGTATCACAGAGACAGGAACACGTAGCTCCAGTATCTACCAAAAATGGCAAGGATCTACCTTCTATGACCAGAATACAAAAAGGCTGATCATCATTAGTAGAGGACAAAAGTGGAAAAGTTGGAGTGTCACCTTCAAGGCAGCCCTATTGGGGCCATGGAATGTG